TCATGCAGCGAAAATACTCAAACATTAAAAAACAAAAACAAAAAAAACCCCCGCAAAATATTTAAAAAATTCTTTGAAAAGAACAAATACAGAATATTAGCAACATCTCTTTTTTGACATTTAGTCTCATTTATCCTTGTATAAATACGTAGGAATGGAATAGCTGGCTCGTTTAAAAAAAATTTTTTTTTTTGTCTTTTTGAGACGGCTTCTCCTTGTAGACCAGGCTGGCCTTGAACTCACAAAGATCCGCCTGTCTCTGCCTTCCAAGTGCTTGGATTAAAGGCATGTGCCACCATGCGTAGCTCATTTAAATTTTTTTAAAAATTATTTTTATTTTATGTATGAGTGTTTGATCTACATGTATGTGAGTGCACCTGTGAATGCAATACCCTCAGAGGCCAGAAGAGGGCATCAGATCCCCTGGAACTGGAGTTGTTATAATGGTTGCTAGCTGCCATGTGTGTGTGCTGGGAATCAAACCTGGGTCCTCTGGAATGACAGCAAGTGTTTCTTAACCACTGAACCGTCTCTCCAGTCCCTCATTTAAATTTTTAAGAAACAACCAAACTGTTTAGGGTTTTTGCCACTTTATACTCTCCACTGTCTTTTTAAAATTTATCCATGATTATTAAATCCTATCATTTTATTTTGTGTTTCCCTAGTGATCAATTCTTTAGTATGTGCTTATTCGCCATTCCTAGTTCTTTGTGAACCGACTACTGAAGTATGATTTATAAAATGGATGGTGTGTGCTTGTGTGTGGTTGTTACACACATATGGAGGCCAGAGAAGAATGTCAGATATCTTCTTCTATTCCTTTCTGCCTCACTCCCTTGAAACGGTGTCTCTCACTCAACTGTAAGCTTGTCATTTTTGCTAAGCTGGTTGGCCATCAAGCTCCCACTATCCTCCTGTCTCTAATCCCCAATATTGAGGTTATAGGATTGTGCAGCCACACCTTGCTTTTTTCACATGGGTCCTGGGATTCCAACTCAGCTTGTCATGCTTACATAGCAAGTCCTCTTACCCATTAAATCATACCCCTCCCCCAGCATTTGCTTATACTTTTGTTTAGTCAGTTTCTCTTTTTGTGCTTGATTTTTTTTTTTTTTTTTTTGAGACAGGCTCTCATGAAACTTGCTATGTAGACCAGACTGTCCTTGAAGTCACAGACATCTGCCTGCCTCTGTCTCCCAAGGGATGGGCTTAAAGGCACACACTACTAACCCAGCTGTGCTTTATATATTGTAGATACCCATTGTTTTAATATGTGTGTGTGAGAGAGAGCGAGAGAGAGAGCATGTTTACTCATATGCCATGGTACATATGTGGAGGTGAGAGACAATTTATGGGAGTTGGTTCTTTCCTTCTACCATGCGAGTCTCAAGCATTGAATTCAGGTGGTTAGGCTTGGAGGCCAGTGCCTTTACTTGTTGAACCATCTCGCCAGCCTTGAGATACACCTTTTGTCAGATGTATACTAGAAATATTTTTTCCCATCCTAAGGTTTTCCTATTAATTTTCTCAGTGATGTCTTCTCATAAGAAGATAAATTTAAATGTTACCGGTATGTAGACCAGGCAGGCCTTGAACTTACAGAGCTCTAATTGCCTCTGCCTCCAGAGTACTGGGATTAAAGGTTTATGCCATCAAACCTGGCTCATTTTCTCTTTCTGATCAATAGCTTTATATTCCTTATTTGAGAAATCATTTCCAACATTGTGGACACAACAAAGAAGTTTGTGTCTTTCCTTGTGGGGATTATGTGTGTGTGTTTTTAAAAAATTTTATTATTTTTACTTTACCTGTATGAGTGTATTGCCTGTATGCATATAAGTGCTCCCGTGTCATGCACTGCCCATGGAGTTCAGAAGAAGTTGCTAGATGCCCTGCAACTGGAGTTAGGACTATTGTTTGTTATTTGCCATGTGGGTGCTGGGAATGCGGCTCCACTGCAAGAGCAGTCAGTGTTCTTAACTCTGAGCCATCTCTCTAGCCCTTGGGGCTATGTGGTTTTAAGTTTCACACTCAGGTCTTTGTTCCATTTGAATTTTAGAGTGTAGTTGTAAATTAATTTTGCTAAAATGAATATATACTTCCAAAACTCTAATCTCCCACCTTGTCTTTCTCCCTTGATTTGTTTTCTTTTTTGGGGGCGGGGGGGTCTTTTTGAGACAGGGTCTCCCTGTAGCCCCAGCTGACCTCGAACTCACTATGTAGACCAGGCTGCCCTTGAACTCAGAGAGATTTCACCTGCCTCTGCCTCCCAAGTACTGGGATTGAAGGCATGCACCAACACGCTGGGGCTCTGTCATTGTTGAGTTTTTAGGTTTGTGTGTGTGTGTGTGTGGCATTAACCTTGGCATTAGAATAAGAAAAAAAAAGCAAGAATTAATGGTCACAGTTTATACCAGACTGTGGAAAAGTGGCCGTATCCTAAGAATCAGTCCTATCATCTGACATATGACTAGTAATTTCATCATTAAGCTTCTAGTTACTTTGAGGCATGAGATTGAATCCATGGATTAATCAATAGGTTAGAGAAGGGGTTTTGTGTTTGTGTGTGTGTGTGTGTGTGTGTGTGTGTGTGTGTGTGTGTGTGTGTGTGTTTTGTCTTTTTGAGGCAGGGTCTCCCTGTAGCCCTAGCTGGCATAGAACTTGCTATGTAGATCAGACTGGCCTTGAACTCACAGAGATCCACCTGCCTCATCCTTCCTGAGTGCTGGGATCAAGGGCATATGCCACCATGCCCATCCAAGAGGGCTTATTTTTAAGGTACTATATCTGTTTTAATATGTTTCTGTAGAAGAATAACAAAGTAAATGACTAGTACCATATTCATATCTCCAAAGTCACAAAGTTCTGTGCTGATTTTTTTTATTGTAATCAGAACAGATAAATTTTCATCTGTGATTTAATTTTATTGTGAATGCTTCCATTTCTACTTAAATGATAAAGTCAGTGCAGTTAGAAGTGTGAATATTTCCCCAGATTTTCTCTGAATATAGTTTTAAGAACATTTTCGTATTTTCTCCAACAACTTTTGAGTGACTATTTAACAATGGGCTATCTAGGGGCTGGAGAGATAGCTCAGCAGTTAAGAGCACTAGCTGTTCTAGCAGAGGACCCAGCACTCACACGGCAGCAAACAACTGTCTGTAGAACTCCATATCCAGGAGATCTGACATTCTCTTCTGGCCTCCACCGGCATCCATTCCTAAGGCTTTCCTATTAATTTTCCTATGAAATTAGACAGATGCCCTTATGTACATGGAGGCAAACACTTATAGACATAAAATAAATTATTTTTTTAAACACAGAGATCTGCCTCCCTTTGTCTCGGGTGCTGGGATTAAAGGCATGTGCCACCACGCTGGCCTGAAAATGATTATTCTTAACAATTTATTATATATCTTAGTATTCTAGAATTCTCGGCTACATTTTATATTGTTAAAACCTAAAACTTTGGCTGGGTATGGTGATGCACACCTTTAGTTACAGCAGAGACAGGCGGGTCTCTGAATTCAAGGCCAGCTTGATTTACATAGTGAATTCTAGGCCAGCTGGGGTTACAGGGAGAGCCTGTGTCAAAAAGACCCCCCCCCCAAAAGAAAAAAAATCTGAAACTGAAAAATATTACTTATTTAAAAAAAATTTTTTTTTTACTTGAACTTTTGTAATTTCATACAACAGTTTTCAATCAAATTTAGACCCCCTTCCCCATCTAGACTCCCCTATACCCCCCACTGGACCTCATGTATTCTGCCATACATGTTAAGTCCTATCCAATCAAGCTTTTTTGTTTGTTTGTTTGTTTATTTGTTTGTTTTGAAACGGGGAAATAGGTATGTGCCACCATGCTCTGAGATTTTGAGTTTTTTGGGGGAAAGACTGTGCTGGGGACTGAACTCAGGTCCTCATTCATCCTAGGCAAACACTTTACCACTGAACTACACACACCATATATGAGTTCATGAGTATACTAAGCCATGGCAAGCCCAGAAAGCAAGCCCCATTTTCAGTGTTTATTTTCCTATTAATAGTTATTTTGTATTTGAGGACTATAGGCCATGTACTATACTTTATTTCCTTTCTCTAAATTAATTTTTAGGTTTAGTAGAACCCTAACCCTTTTTACTCCACTCCCCCTGTCCCCTCCCCCCTCTGACTGGTTCCTTTCCTTCCCCTGAATAAGCCCACCTTTTTTCACTTTTTGAGATTTAATGTTACATTAATCTTTAGTGATTTTAATTTGTAAAGATATTTCATGTTTTAGAGATGTTTATAGTTCAGTATCCATTGTTCATTAAGCTTGTCAACTCTGCTATGGTGCTCATTTAAACAACACACAAAATTCTAAAATTGGAACACATAAGCCCCCTTATATAACAATAATATGGAACTTGATCAAGTGTTCTGTATTTGTTTCTCATGTGAAATCCAAGTTTATATATGTACGTATATATGTAATATTACATAAAAGGAGAATTGAGACAGGATCTCATGTAGTTCAGGCTGGCCTGATATTCTTTACATAGAATCAAGATGACCTTGAATTCCTGCCATGTCCAAAGTGCATGCACTCCTTTTTTTTTTTTTGTTTTTTGTTTTTGAGATAAGGTCTTTTTATACAATGCCAGCTTGCCTCCAGCTTCAACTTTTGTTTTGTTTTTGTCTTTTTGAGACAGGATCTCACTGTAGCCTGAGCTGGCCTGGAACTCACTTTGTAGACCAGGCTGACTTTGAACTCAAAGACATCCACCTGCCTCTGCCTCCTGAGTGCTGGGACTAAAGATGTGCCACCACGCCTGGCCAGCTCCAACTTTTGGTCTTCCTGCCTCAACCTCCCAAGTTCTTAAATTATCAGACTTTTCTTGAAATTCCCCTAAATAATCCAGGATTTGGTGCTAAGTCAAAAACCAATTTTGATTTTTTCATATAAGGTAAGGAATTTGTTTTCTGTACCTCAGTAAATCCTGTTGTTTTCTTATTTGTAGTGCTATGAAGCTGTTCGCTTGGAGAATGGTATTAACAACTCATGTGCTGCGTCTCATTTGAAAGAGTTTGGTGGAGGTGAGTACTTTTGAGATTAAGAATATGTAAAAGAGAGATAAATTTTAAAGTACTTAATTGACTAGCAAAGTCCCTTCATATATAAATAGGACCAGTGAAATTACAGTTTTGAGACTAAATTGAACAAAATATGCTTCCTGACATAACTTACGGTTAATTTTTAATTTTGTTTTTTTCCTGAAAATTTGTTATTGAACTTTTGTGTATTTGATACAGAACATCTTAATCTTAATCATGTTTATGCTCCCTTCCCCATTGGCATCCTCCCATAGCCCCCTCCCCCAACCCTCTGGAATTCATACATTCTGTCATTTGTGTTAAGGCCTGTCCTGTCAAGTTAGTGTCCCCAGACATCCCTCAGTGCAAGTTCATCCATTGGCAAGTTCATCCATTGAGTTCTAGGCAGCCTATCCAGAGTCCCTCCCTTTATGAAAATCAGTTCTTATGTGATTACCCAGCAGTAATCAGCTGCCAATAACTCTTCCACTAAGATTTGAACTTGTTGCTCATTTTCACAGTTATGTATTGCACTTTTCTTTTTTTCTTTCTTTTTTTTGGGGGGGGCGCAGAGGGGAGACAGGGTCTCTTATAGCCCCAGCTGGCCTGGAACTCACTACGTAGATCAGGCTAGCTTTGAACTCACAGAGATCTGCCTTCCTCAGCCTTCTCCACTGGGATTAAAGGTGTGCATCTGGACACCCTGTTTCTTTGCTGGGTTTTTGTCTGCTTGAGTTTGCATAGGTCTAGTGCATGCTGACACCATTGCTATAAGTTCATGTGTGCAAAGAGCTCATAGGACTCATATGGTGGTTGTGCACCTCCTCCCTGGCTCTTAGAATCTTTCTGCCCCCTCTTCCGAAATGATCCCTGGATTTTAAGGACCCACACTCTGCAGGCTCTTATTCTTCATGATTTGGTCATTTGTGACTTTTTGTGTTCCTGACCCCCTGTTGCATGAGGGAGCTTCATTGATGAGAATTGAGAGATGCTTTAGTGTCCTCTTTACCCCTTATTCTATGTTTTGTGCATCTTTGGTGTAGAGGTTGCATTATAGATGTGCTTCTTAGGCTTGGGCAATTCATGCACAGTGTGTTTGACCAGTTGTGGAACTCTGTCATCTATGTTTGTGGCAAAAGAAGCTTATTTTTTTAGTCTTTTTGAGAAAGGGTTTCCCCCTGGTCTCAGCTGGCCTGGAATTTGCTATATAGACCAAGCTGGCCTTGAACTCATAGAGATCTGCCTGCCTCTGCCTCTGGAGTGCTAGGATTAAAGGCATGCACCACCATCCCTGGCACGAGAAACTTCTTTAATAAGTAGTGATTGGGATATTTTTCTGTAATTTCAAGGATCCATATTTTGCACATAGATCTAAGACCTCTCCAGCCATGTGTATTTGACTATGTTCACAGTACCACACGAGTTTCCTCCCATTGAGTGGGCTTTAAGTCCAATTAGATAGCTGTTGATTACCCCTAAAATAAAAGTGCCACTACTGCACCAGTGTCTTTAACTGTGCCCATCATTGATGAGGTTATTAGGCCTTGAAGCTGGTTGGACTATTGATTGATATTCTCCCTTAGCAGCTTGCTAATGCTCTCCAAAACTATGAAAGCTAACCTTCAGGGGAAGTGGCTTCCAGATTAGTTTCAGCTCCATTGCTCCAAATCCCGGGTCTGAAGTATATCTTGTCTTCAGCAATAGGGTCTTATCTGCAAGTTCTGGGAGGTAATTAAGGACTGTGACAATAGCCTAAACAATTTTGGGAGTCTTTTGGGCTACCCTGGCTAACAACTCAAAGGAAGGTTTCTCCTTTTTGGCAGTGTTTCTTATTATATGTAAAAATGTAAAAAACAACAACAAAAAATCCCCAGAGGGAATCATATTAGTCCAAAAACCTATTGACAAATTATACATACAAAATCTCTACATGAGTCCATGTATATAGCTGAAGGTTATTTTTTGGTTTTATGCTGTTACCAGTTAAATGAAATTAGATTAATGTTTTTGAGACAGTGGTGTCTCACTGTAACTGGCTGGCCTGGAACTCCTTATGTAGACCAGGCTGGCCTTGAGTTCACAGCCTCCCCAGTGTGTGCCACCACACCTGGCCTAAAGATACTTTTTAGTAAGAAAATATTTGGAGCAACTGAGAAAAATCTGGTTCTCTTCATTTTCTTACTAGTATAACGCTCCAGACTAATACCATTGATTTTTTTTTTTAATTTTAGCATTAATCTGATTTTAATTTCTGTTGGAAATGTTCAGTGCGATTTGAGAGGGAAATCATAAATCATCTGAGTTCTCTTTCACAAATTGTGTTTATTTTTAAACTTTTAAAATGTTTTATTTTTATTTTTTTTAATAATTTTATTTAATTTTATATGTATGAATGTATTGCCTGCATGTTTGTGAATGCACCCATGTCCTGCAATGCCACCTAAGTCAGAAGAGGGCTTCGGATTACCCTGGAACTGTAGTTAAGGACGGTTTGTAGCCACCATGTGGGTGCTGGGAATTGAACCCGGGTTCTCTGAAAGAGCAGTCAGTGCTCTTAACCTCTGAGCTGTCTCTCCAGCCCCTATTATTTTTATTTTATGTGTCTGAGTGTATTGCCTGCATGTATGTGAGTGCACCCATGTTGGGCAATGCCTTGGAGGTCAGGAGAGGACTTCGGATTCCCCTGGAACTGGAGTTAAGGACGGTTTGTAGCCACCATGTGGGTGCTGGGAATTGAACCTGAGTCCTATGCAAGAGCAGTCAGTGCCCTTAACCGCTGAGCCATCTCTCCAGCCCCTTCACATTGTGTTTATTTTTATCATACCTAATTTGTCATTCTTTTGGCACATCTCTGACCTATTGTCTCCTAGCATATGTGTGAATAAGAGCTTGCATTTGGGCCTATTATGTTGTAATTGTTTCTTTTTTTTTTAATGACTTTTTTTTATTCTTGAATTTCATAAATATATTTTGGTCGTTTTCATTTTCCATTACTGTGTCTTTTTTTTGTCTTTTTGAGACAGGGTCTCTTGTAGCCCCAGGTGGCCTGGAACTCGCTATGCAGACCAGGCTGGCCTCAAAGATCTGCTTGCCTCTGTCTCCCAAGTGCTGGGACCAAAGGCTATACCCGGTGTGGCACACTAATTTTAATTAGAGTTGGCATGAGCATGAGTGAAGTATTATCGACTAGAACATGGACAAGTCTCCGATGGGTAAAATGAAAATTCATCCCCCTGCCCAGCAACCATTAACAACTAATAGTTCTTTGGGGAGAGGTGATGCCTAGTGGGTCCCTCCTCCATTCATAGTAGAATGTTGACAGACTTGACCTTATGCTTGTAACCACAGTTGCTGTGAGTTAATGAGGGTACCACCCATGTCATATATAGAAGACAGAGTTTCATAGCAGGGTTCCTTTTCAGGGTTCCTTTTCTTTAATCTTTTGCCCCCTGGTCTGGTGTGATGGCTCAGTAGTTGGGAGCACTGGCTGCTCTTGCAGAGGACCCAGGTTCCATTTCCAGCACCCACACGGTGGCTAGCACCCATCCATAGTACCAGTTCTAGGGGACTCCAATGCCCTCTTCTGACCTCTGCAGGCATTGCACAATAGGGGTGTACTTCACACATGCAGGCAATGCACTCATACACATAAAATAAACATAATAAAGAAAACATTAAAAAAGTATTTCTTTTAAATATTTTGCCCCCATCCTGCAATATTCCCCAAGCCCTGGAGGGATCAATACAGATGTCTTGTTTAAGGTTGAGTATTCAACAATCATTTATTCTCAATGTAACATACCTTTGACCAGTTATGAGTCTCAGCATTAACTGCTGCCCACTGCAAAAAAGAAGTTTTGCTGACCAAGGTTAAGAGCAGCACTAATCTATGGGAATGAACATAAATATTTAGAAGGCAGTTGGACAACATATTCATTTAGCAAAAGCAATAGTGAGTTTCCCCACCTTAGTATGACCTCCCCAGCCATAGGCATTTGGTCAGGTTTACAGTATCAGGTATGAATTTTCTCCTTTGGAGCAGTCCTCAAACCCATTCAGAAAGTGATTGGGCATCCCTGTAACAGTCACCCACTATTATACCAATGGACATGTCTTGACAAGTTAATATTGTGGCTCACAGTGTTCACAGTTTGGTTAGACCATTGATAAATTTTCTCCCCCAGCAGCCTGCATAGCACATTTTAGTACTATGAAAGCTAGCCAAACATGGAGGAATCTTCTAGCTCTGTTCTGGTTTGATTTATCTGTGTCATGTACCATTTGGGGATTCTTCTGTTTCAAATTACAAGCTGTGTCCTGGATTTGTCTACTTGGTAATGTTGGTTTCATTACCAGAAAGAATGGACAGGCTACTCACTAAATAATAGAGTGTCCTAGTTTGTTTCTTCATTGCTGTGACAGAATACTCTGACCAATACCAACTTGGGGAGGAAAGGGTTTATTCAGCTTACATCTCCCAGGTCACAGTTCATCAGGGAGTCCAAGGTAGGAACTCAGGGCAGAAACCTGGAGTTAGGAGCTGGAGGAGTACAGGCCATGAGGATCATTGCTTACTGGCTTGCTTCCCTGGCTCCTGCTCAGCCTGCTTTCTTATACAACACAGGCCCACCTGCCCAGGGGTGGCACCATCCACAGTGGGCTGGGCCCTCCCACATCACTCAACAATCAAGAAGGTACCCCATGGACATGGCCACAGGCCAGTCCAATGAAGGCAATTCCCCAGTTGAGGCTCCCTCAACCCTGGTGTGTCAAGTTGACACTAAAGCTATCTAGCACATACAGTATTTAGCAATTAAGCTTTTTTTTTTTTGTCTTTTTAAGACAGGGTCTCTCTAGCTCCAGCTGTCCTGGAACTCACTATGTAGACCAGGCTGTCCTTGAACTCACAGAGATCTACCACACCTGGCGTGCATCTATTTTTTTTTTTTAATATTTTATTATTTTTATTTTATGTGTATGGGTGTATTGCCTGCATGTGTGTG